AACCAAGGTATATTGTTGTTCCTTGTACACAGTAGGGTACAGTTAGTAAACCCCCTGGCCCCTCCGCCTCCGCCACCCCTCCGCCGCCCCTCCCCCTCTCCCCTTTCCCCCTCTCTCCCCCTCCCCGTCGCCCTCCCCCCTCACCCCTCGGTCCTCCCGCCTCACGCCTCGGCCCTCCGCTTCCCCTTCTTGAGGTATGTGTGGCATTACTGTGAAATTCCAAGATTATATATTATACAGCAGGGTATAGTTAGTAACCCCCTCACTCCCCCTGCTCCTCTCCCCCTCACCCTCCCCCCTCTCTCCCCCCGCTTCCCTTTCTTGAGGTATGTGTGGCATTACTGTGAAATTCCAAGATTACATATTATACAGCAGGCTCTACCCCTCACCCCGACCCTGTCCCCTTGCCCCTGACCACTCCCATTCACCCATCACGCCTTCCCGTTCCCTCTCCCATTCACCTTCGCTCCCCTTCCCCTTCCCCCTCGCTCGCACCCTCATCCCCCCGTCCCTCCTCGCCCTGCTCCCTCCCCCTCTCCCCCTCGCTCCACCCTCGCGCTCTCCCCCTTGCGTCAAACCCTCTCCCCCTCTCTCCTTCCCCTCTCCCCTTCTCTCCCATTTCCCCTCCCCCTCCCGACTCCCACCTCGCTCGCTCCCTCCGCCTCTCCCTTCCCCTCACCCTTCCATCCCCGTCGCCAGCCCCCCTTTCCCTCCTCGTCTGCCCCACCTCTACCCCTCCACGCCCTTCCCCTTTCCATAGCAACCCCTCGACCCTTCTCCCCCTTTCCCCCCTACCCCTCAACCCCTCTCCCCATTTTCCCTCCCTACCCCTCAACCTCTCTCCCCCTCGCCGTCTCGCCCTCGTGTCCTTCGTCCTCCTCATGCCCACCCCCATCTCTCCCCCTCACCCTCCTTCGCTGTACCCCCTCCCCAATCCTTGCTCCCTCCCCCTTGCCCACCTCCCCCACATACCTACCTCATCCCTTTCCTCCCTTCTGCGTCCGCCCTCCACTCATAGCCCCTCACCATTTCTCCTCCCCCCCCCTCCCCCCGCCCACCCCCCCTAATCTGCTCCCCGCTTCACCCTTTCCCCTCCCCGCTCTCCCGTGATCCTCCCCCTTCCTCGCTCCCTCGTCCCCCAGCACTCCCTGCCCCTCGCCCCTCACGCCCTCCCTCGTATCCCCTCCCCACCGTACCCCATCCACCTCCCCCCTCGCCACCAACCCCTTCGCTCCCATTCCCCTCTCCCCCCTCGTTTGATTTGAGGCCGACCAAATGAGGTCCGATTGACCTCAAATCACCTCCATTGGAGAGATATGCGAGTCTAGTAAAATGTTCATATTTACCCACTGTTAAAATTATTTATAACTATTAAAATTATCTATAAAAATGAAGCTATGTTTCAAAATGTACGTATAGGTCACAGTTGACTTTTTATCTTGGATTTTCTTGTAATATTGCTGTGGTTACAAAATTTAACTAACCAAATGAGGTCCATTTCCTGTCAAACTATAGTCATTTGAAAGGTCCTTGAGTGGGAAAAAATTTGCTTGTAGAAATTATTTCCAAATTCTTCTTAGATTGAAAGTTATGCTTTATTTTATGAAGATATGTCACTGTGAATAGTTTGGATAAAACTCATAATTATCAGCTTGTTTGACACTGACCTTTGAATAACCAAATAGAGTCCAAATGTTTTCAAATTGGCCTAGTTAGAAAGATTTATGTCATAATTTAAACTTTTATATTAAGAAGACCTTAAAATACTTCATGATATGAGAATTATAGTGATACGAAGTAGGGTATGTCGTTGTTCCATGTACACAGTTGGGTACAGTTAGTAACCCCCTATCCCTCTCGCCCTCCTCCGCCCTCGCCCTAGCCCCCTCGCCCTTTCCCCTTCGTCCACCCTCGCCTTCTCCTTCTTCCCTTTTCCCTCCCTCGTGCAACCCATCTCCCCTCACCGCCACCCCACCCTGCACCTCTACACGCTCCCATCCCCCTCTACCTCTCTCGACCCCACTACCCCGTCATCCTCCCCTGCCCTCCTTCCCTTCCCGTCTCCCCGTCGTGCCCCTACCCCTCTCGCCCCTCGCGCCCTCCCTCGCATTCTCCCTCACCACCTTATCCCATCCCCCTCGCCCTCCCCCTCGCCCTCGCTCTCCCCCTTCGCCTCCCCACCTCCCCCTCCTCTCCCATTCCCCTCTCCCCCGTCGTTTGATTTGAGGCCAACTTAACTAGGTCTGATTAGCCTCAAATCATTGCCATTGGAAAGATATACGAATCTAGTAAATGTTCATGTTTGCCACTATTGAAATTCTTTATAAAAATGAAGCTGTGTTTCAAAATGTACATATAGGTCACTGGTTACTATTTTTCCGGGATTTTCCACTAACATTGATGTGGTTACTAAATTTAACTAACCAAACGAGGTCCATTTCCTGTCAAACTATAGCCATTTGAAAGGTCCTTGAGTTGGAAAAAATTTGCATCAGAAATTATATGGAAATTTTTCTTAGATTGAAAGTTATGCTTTATTTTATGAAGATAGGTCACTGTGGACAGTTTGGATAAAACTCAGAATTACTTGGCACAGACCTTTGAATAATGAAATGGAGTCCAAAAGTTTTCAAGTTGGTCTTGTTAGAAAGGCTTATGTTATATTTTAAACTTTTATTTTGAGATGGCCTCAAAATACATCATGGTTTGAGAATTATAGTGATACGAAGCAGAGTATATCATTGTTCCATGCACACAACATGGAACAGTTAATAACCTCCCATCCCCCTACCATTAACCCCCTCCCCACCTCCCCCCTCCTCCCCCCTCACTCCACCCACCCTCCCACCTTCCTCCTAGCACCCCCAACAGTTATCATGTTCTTCACCATGAGATCAAGGTTATGGAACATATTCTTGAGGTATGTGTGGCATTATTGTGAAATTCCAAGACTATACATGTTTTTGAAGCAAGCTTTTGAACAACCAAACGAGGTTCGATTGGCCTCAAATCACTACCATTGGAAAGATATACGAGTCTAGTAAAATGTTCATGTTTACCCATGTTGAAATTCTTTATAAGAGTGAAGCTATGTTTCAAAATGTATGTATAGGTCACTGTTGACTGTTTTTCCTGAATTTTCCACTAACATTGATGTGGCTACTAAATTTAACTAACCAAATGAGGTCAATTTCCTGTCAAACTACAGCCATTCGTAAGATGCTTGAGTGGGAAAAAATTTGCATGCAGAAATTATTTTGAAATTCTTCTTAGATTGAATATTATGCTTTATTTTATGAAGATAGATTAATGTCGACAGTTTGGATAAAATTCAGAATTATAACCTTGCTTGGCACGTACCATTGAAAAACCAAATGGAGTCCAAATGTTTTCAAATTTTACTTGTTAGAAAGATTTATGTCATAGTTTAAACTATTATTTTGAGATGGTCTCAAAATACTTCATGGTTTGAGAATTATTGTGATACGAAGCAACATTTGTCGTTGTTCCATGTACTCAACAGGGTACAGTTAGTAACCCCCCTCCGCCTCTCCCCTTTTCCCTCTCTCTCCCGTTACCCCATTTCCCCTTTTCCCTCTCTCTCTTGCTACCCCCTCCCCCAACCCCCGTTCCCCCTCCCCCTTCTTGAGGTATGTGTGGCATTTTTGTGAAATTTCAAGGCTATACATATTTTTGTAGTGGCCTTTTGAACAACCAAATGAGGTCCGATTGGCCTCGAATCACTGCCATTGGAAAGATGTACGAGTCTAGTAAACTGTTCATGTTTACCCACTGTTGAAATTCTTTATAAAAATGAAAGTATGTTTCAAAATGTATGTATAGGTCATTGTTGACTCTTTTTCCTGGATTTTCCACTAACATTGTTGTGGTTACTAAATTAAACTGACCAAACGAGGTCCATTTCTTTTCAAACTATAGCCATTTGAAAGGTCTTTGAGTGAGAAAAACTTTGTATGCAAAAATTATTTTGAAATCCTTCCTAGATTGAAATTTATGCTTTATTTTATGAAGATAGGTCACTGTGGACAATTTGGATAAAACTCAAAATTATCACCTTGCGTGAAACGGACCTTTGAAGAACCAAATGGAGTCCAAATGTTCTCAAATTGGTCTTGTTAGAAAGATTTATGTCATAGTTTAAACTTTTATTTTGAGATGACATCAAATTACATCATGGTTTGAGATTTACAGTGATACGAAGTAGGGTATGTCATTGTTCCATGTACACAGTAGGGTACAATTAGTAACCCCCTCCCTCGCCCGCGCCCTCTCTCGTGCCCTTCCTCCTCGACCTCTCTTGAGCGCCCCCTCCCCCTTCTCCTTCGCCCAGCCCCCCTCCGCCTACACCCTCTCCCATGCCCTCGCTCCTCGCCCTCTCCCGCTTGCCCCCTCCCCTTCCCCCTTCCACATCCCCCTTCCCGTCCCCGCTCCCTTCATACCCCCGCCCCCCCAACTTCATCCCCCTCGCCCTTCGTACCAACCCCTTCCCACTGATTCCCCTCTCCCCCGTCATTTGATTTGAGACCAACCAAACAAGGTCCAATTGGCCTCAAATTACCGTCATTGGAAAGATATACTAGTCTTGTAAAATGTTTATGTTTACCCACTATTGAAATTCTTTATAAAAATGAAGGTATATTTCAAAATGTACGTATAGGTCACTGTTGACTATTTTTCCTGAATTTTCCGCTAACATTGTTGTGGTTACTAAATTTAACTGACCAAACGAGATCCGTTTCCTGTCAAACTACAGCCATTTGAAAGGTCATTGAGTGGGAAAAAATTTGCAGGTAGAAATTATTTTAAATTCTTCTTAGATTGAAACTTATGCTTTATTTTATGAAGATAGGTCACGGTGGACAGTTTGGATAAAATTCAGAATTATCACCTTGCTTGGCACGAACCTTTGAACAACCAAAGAGAGTCCAAATGTTTTCAAATTGATATGGTTAGAGAGATTTATGTCATAGTTTAAACTTTTATTTTGAGAAGGCCTCAAAACACTTCGTGGTTTGAGAATTATAGTGATACGAAGCAGGGTATGTCGTTGTTCCATGTACACAGCAAGGTATAGTTCGTAACCCCATACCCCCTCGTTCCCCACTCCCCCTCCCGCTCCCTTTGTCGTTGCCCTTTCCTCCTCCAGCTCTCGCCATCCCTCCACCCGTCGCACTCTCCCCCGCCCCTCCCCCTGACCCCTCACCCCACTCCCCTGCCGTCTTCTCCCTCGAGCCCCTGCTCTCCGCACCCTCGCCTCCCCCTCGCCCATCTCCTGCCATCACCCTCCACTCTAGCCGCTGCTCCCATCCCCCCTCCCTCGTTCGCCATCCCCCTTCCCCCACCCTCGTCCCGTCATCCCCCAGTCCCCTCTCCTCATCCCGCGCTCCCCCCTCGCAAGGTATGTTGTTGTTCCATGTACACAATAGCGCACGGTTAGTAACCCCGTACCCCCTCCCTCCGCCTCCCCTCTCCCCTCCTCTGCCCTCGCGCTCTCTCCCTCCCCTTCCTCCTGCTACCGCTCTTCCCCTCCCATTTTCCCCTCCTTGCCTTGGTCCTCGCGCCCTTGCCCCTTCCCCCTCCACCCCCACCCCTCCTCTCCCCCTCCCCGCTCCCCTGTCATCATCCCTTGTTCCCCCCTTGCCGCCCCCTCCCTCCCTCTCTAGCCTCCTCGCCCCTTCCGCGCTCCCTCGCATCCCCCTCCCCACCTCATGCCATCCCCCCACCCACCTCCCCCTTCCCCCCCATTTCTCTCTCCCGCCTCGTTTGATTTGAGGCCAACCAAATATGGTTCGATTGGCCTAAAATCATAGCCATTAGAAAGATATTCGAGTCTAGTAAAATGTTTATGTTTATCCACTGTTGAAATTCTTTATAAAAAGGAAGGTATGCTTCAAAATGTACGTATAGATCACTGTTGACTGTTTTTCTTGGATTTTCCACTAACATTGTTGTGGTCACTAAATTTAACTAACCAAATGAGGTCCATTTTCAGTCAAACTATAGCCATTTGAAAGATCCTTGAGTGGGAAAAAATTTTCATGTAGAAAGTATTTTGAAATTCTTCTTAGAATGAAAGTTATGCTTTATTTTATGAAGATATGTCACTATGGACAGTTTGGATAAAACTCATAATTATCACCTTGCTAGGCACAGACCTTTGAACAACATATAGAGTCCAAATGTTTTCAAATTGGTTTGGTTAGAAAGATTTATGTTATAGTTTAAACTTTTATTTTGAGAAGGCCTCAAAATACTTCATGGTTTGAGAATTATAGTAATACGAAGAAGGGTATGTCGTTGTTCCATATATACAGTTGGGTCCTGTTAGTAACCCCCTGAACCCTCCCTCCCCCGTCCCCCTCTCCCGCTCCCTGCCCCATTACCCTCTCGCCCTCCTCCTCCCCCTCCCTTCGCCCGACTCCTGTCCTCCTCCCCGCGACGCCTCTCCCCTTCCCCCCTCTCGCCCTCTCGCCCTCAACCCTCCCGCTTGCCCCATCCCCCGTTGCACCCGCACACGTCTCCCTTCCCCCCACTTCCCCTCCGCTTTCCGCAGTCCTCTCCCTCCCCCCGCCCCCCTCCCCCCATCCCTCGCCTCGCTCCCTCCCCTTCGTCTCCTTCCTTCCCTCTCTCTCCTTCCTCCCTCACCCCTTCCCTCTCGCTCCTCCCTCCTCATCCTCTCCCCACTCCCACCCCTCCCCCTTCGCCTCTCCTCGCCTCCCGCCCTCCATCTATCCCCCCTCCTCCCTTCCCCCCATCCCCCTGTCCTCCCTTGCCCTTTCGCTTCCCCTCCACCCCTTCCCCCTCCCATTCCCCTCTCCCACCTCGTTTGATTTGAGGCCAACCAAACGAGGCCCGATTGGCCTCAAATCATCGTAATTGGAAATATAGACGAGTCTAGTAAAATGTTCTTGTTTACTCACTTGTTGAACTTCATTATAAAAATGAAGTTATCTTTCAAAATGTACGTATAGGTCACTGTTGATTGTTTTCTTCAATTTTCCACTAACAATTTTGTGGTTACTTATTTTATTTAACCAAACAAGGTCTATTTCCTGTCAAACTACAGCCATTTGAAAGGTCCTTGAGTGGGAAAAAATTTGCATGTAGAAATTATTTTGAAATTCTTTTTAGATTGAAAGTTATGCTTTATTTTATGAAGATAGGTCACTATGAATAGTTTGGTTAAAACTCAGAATTATCTCCTTGCTTGGGATAAATCTTTGGACAACCAAATGGAGTCCAAATGTTTTTAAATTGGCCTTGTTAGAAAGATTTATGTCATAGTTTAAACTTTTATTTTGAGAAGGCCTCAAAATACTTCATGGCTTGAGAATTATAGTGATACAAAGCAGGGTATGTTGTTTTTCCATGTACACATCAGGGTACAATTAGTAACCCCCTATCCCTTTCCTCCCCGCTCCCGCTGCTCCCTCCTTGCCCTCTCCCCCTCCCCGCCCCTCCCTCCCCACTTCCCCCTTCGCCCTCGCTCCCCGCTACCTTTCTCCCACTCCCACTCCCACTCCTTGCGTCCCCCTCATCCCCTCGCCGGGCTCCCCTCTCCCACTTCCCGCTCCCCCCTCCCCTCCTCTCCCCTCCCTGTCCTCCCTCCCTACCTGCCTCACGCCCCTCCCGCGCCATCGCCCTCCCGCCTTCGCTTCCAACACCCCCTCCACCCCTCCCCCCTCCCCGACTCCTCTTATCTCCCATCCCCCTTCCCTCTCATTCCCCTCTCTCCCCTCATTTGATTTGAGGCCAACCAAATGAGGTCTGATTGGCCTCATATCACCAACATTGGAAAGATATATGAGTCTAGTAAAATGTTCATATTTACCCACTATTGAAATTCTTTATAAAAATGAAGCTATGTTTCAAAATATACGTATAGGCCACTGTTGACTATTTCTCATGGATTTTCAACTAACATTGTTGTGGTTACTACATTTAACTAACTAAACGATGTGCAGTATGAAATGCTTCAACCCAAAATCGTTTAGGAATTCTTGTATGAAACATCATTGTAAGGCCAAATTCTACAATATTTCTATGTTTCCTTTCTGCTATTCCATTTTGCTCATGAGTCTCTGGACATGATAATTGTTGCATGATTTCAATGTTATTAAGATGATCAGTAAAGCATTTTTTAGCAAATTCACCACCTCCATCACGTTGAAAAACTCGAATTCTTTTGTCAAACATCCTTTCAACCATACGATGAAATTTCATAAATACAACAAAAAATTCAGATTTTTAGTTTTAAAGGATAAATCCAAGAAAAAAAAATATAATCATCAACAAACACCACATAAATAGTGATAATTTTGATTAGATAAAGTTGAAGCAGGGCCCTATAAGTTTGAATGAATCTTAAAAAGAGGTTCAATAGAGGTTTTATCAACACCACTAAAAGGAAGCTTACAACTTTTTCCAATCTGACAACTATCACAGATAAAATGAGATTTATTCCATGCATCAACATTAATTAATTGTTTAGATTTTAAGTAACGAACAATTTTATTTTGAGGATACCCAAGACGTTGATGCCACACATCTTCTGATGTTATTTTATTCCGATTAGAGAATAAAATTTATTTCACTTCTTCAAGTGCATACAATCCTCCCTTTCAATTCTCGTTAGCTAGAGTTCTCCCTGTACTCATTTCCTTAATCAGAAAACCATCTGATGAGAACTAAAAAATACAAGGAAATTATTAAGTAAATTGCCTAACAGATAACAAGTTCTTTTTCATTTTGGGTACCAAAAGAATATTAGAAATATTGAATTTTTCAGACCCAAAATTAATATTTGTGTCACCAACATGTGAAATAGTTAGTTGTTCACAATTACCAATCATGACTGTATCTGTGCCAATATAGAGACAAAGACTTTGCAACTTACCTGGATATCCTGTCACATGAGTGGAGGCACTTGTGTCTGGGAACCATTCTGAATCTTGTGAATCAGCTAAAGTCATTGCAGCAAGGGGTTGAGGAATACCTTCTGCTTGGTACATTTGGTTGAAGCGATGCCAATACTTCAATGCAGTGTGTTTAAGTTTTCCACAAATTTGACATTTTTTCCCAGGTGTCTGAGCTGACTGTTGTATTTGTGAATCTTGGTGGAATCCTTGATCCATGTGTCTCATAAGAAGTATACCCCTATGGTCTTGATTTTTCTTAGGCACCTCACGACCCACATTATTGATCTGACTAGTTTGAACAAATCCATGTCCTCGTGAGCTGAAGAAATGTTGACCACCAAAGTTGTTCATCCCTCTACCTCTGTAATTCTGGTTAACTCTATTGGGTCCAAAAAAAATTGTCGTCCAACAAAAACCATATTTTGATTTGGTTCGGATTATTCTTCAAAATCATATGGTTGATTTCTAATCTCATGGCTTTGAAGGAGAGGTATAATTTCATAACATGGAGGAATTGGAGGCTTAAACATAATGGTAGCAAAACTCTCATATTTTGGGTCAAGTCCATTAAGAAGCCAAAAAACCTTTTTTTCATCGGGTATAGGTCTTCCAATAGCTGCCAAATCATCACAAATACTATTAAATTTGCACATGTACTCTAATAGGGTTGAATTCCCTTTCTTGCATAGTTAGATTTGCTGGGTAAGTTGGAACTTCCTAGCTTGATAATTACTTGCATAGATACTCTTCAAGCATTTCCAAACTTCTATAGAAGTCTTGAAGCTAACAACAAGACCGAGACACTTTTCTAACAGTGTCCCTATAATCCAGGCTTTAAGTAGTCGATCGGATTTAACCATGATTTATGATTTAGGTTTCGATTTCACTCTTACCATCAAGAGAGAGAATCTTTTGGCTTGGTGTAGGGCAATCACTATTAATAAATCCAAAAGTTCCTGACTCTCAATTAATGAAAGTATTTGAGTTTCCCATAACAAATAGTTGTTTTGTGTTAATTTAATTGACACAAAATTTCCTACGTTAAGTGTAGAAAGATAGGGATACTTGGATGATGGAGTATCGATTGGATACATAGGATCGCTTCAAAAGTTTAGAGTGAGAAAGTGGGTTTTTGAGGGGCGTGACCTACCAATGTTGTGGAACAATACTATGAGAAAGTGGTGGATTTTAATGTGTATTGATGTTGGAGAGAGTGGCTAGGACGTGAGAAGAGGGAAAAATAATGGTGGAAGAGGGAGGAAAAGGGTTAATGGGGCTTGAAGGAAGAGAAATATACAATGGCGTGTGTTTTTTTTTTTTAATTCCACCTCTCTCTCTCAAGGTATCGTGTAGCTATTGCATGGTTTACAAACTACAGCCAACCGATTCATAGCAGAGTTAGAACTAAAGACGTGAAGAGGAAGTTACGTTTGTAAACAATAAGGAAGAGGAAGGGAAAAAGATTGAGGTACCATGACTCAAGACGAGGTTGCCATCTACTTTGGATCGATAAATTACTTCAAGCTGAAGGACTAAGAGGGTCGATGATGCTCTGATACCATGAAGAATTTTAGAAAGAGAAGACCTTTTTGATAAAAAATGCCTTACAAACCTTGTGGCTGTTTTTTTTATTGTATATATAATTGTAATACAATGGTGGAATATTCACTTTTCTATTTTGTTACATGCAATATACACTTTTCTATCTTGTTATATTCTCTTCTCAAAATGAAAAAGTAATATACACTTTCCTATCTTGTTGCTTGTTTCTATTA